CGACTGCAGCCGAAACGAAAGGAAACGGATTCATATATGTTTATTAGATTGGGACCGCAATAAATTACGATTGATTAGGATTTTTGGTGTGATTATATCTGACGATTGTCTCCGAAATGAGCCATAAATAATGGCCCTATATTTTACCTGAGCGCGACGAGTATCGTCGCGAGACATCGACGACACAAGGCACAAAAAGTGCTTTTAGGAAACGTTTAACCATAACATAACTAAAATTGTAACTAGTGACCACTAGAAGACGAAAAAAGGTAAAAAAATAAAAATTCAACCACTCAGAAAACAGACCGGAGAAAATTTTTGATAATTCCATGAAAACTTTTTTTTTCTTTACCTAAACTAGTAGCTAATTTATCCAAACAAAAATTAAATATTTCTATACAAAACTCATTTTAACACATTAAATATTTAAATTACGGGACACCGAAAAGGGCCTCAAAAGATCCACTATGAATTTTGAACGAAAAAACCGAATATTCTTATGCCGTCAAAGAGACGCATGCGAAAGCGGTGGGACAAATTAATTCAAATATTCCAGCATAAATATTAATGGGCCGCTTTATGGAGTGGCATTATTGTTGTTCCGCGCCCGTCCGGAAGCTATAAATTATTAAATTAGATGCTTCCATGTCAGTGTACGCCGTGAGATGTCTTCGAAAAATTCTATTACGCCATAAACTTACACTACTCCTATGTTTTCTAAACGAAACATTTAGTTTCGTTTTGTTTTCACATTATTATGAGGATTATTAGCTTAAAAATAGAAATTCCACACTCATACTAATGTTGGTAAATAACAGTTACTTTAAAGTTGTTTTAATGTATCTCTCCATTTAAAAACGTAATGTTTTTTTCTTGTTTTCCTTGAATTTTTAGTTTTGTATGATGATGGTGATGGTTGATGGACATTGCCTATCACAGACATTAAACTATCATGCGGCGTGGTCATGGTTGATTGGACCAGTTGACTCTTCTTCCACTTTTTTTCGATTTCAACCGAAATGTGTAAACGCGCGTGAGTTGTTTCTGTCTGAGCTCGGCGCAGTCCACTAAATATCACGCTAGACGTGTACAATCACGATGAACAAGAAAGTTTCATTCATTATTAAACGCTGCATATAGTAAAAAATAAATTCAGCAATTTTTGCAATAAATTTCAAGGAAGTTAAAGTAACAACTGAAATTACATCATTAACTCAACTCGGATTGTTAGATAGTTGTAAGGTAGCCAACCTGTGTTAGCAGCTCGCGGGTCAATGGATGTCCATCCACTTCCACAGTGCACTTTGCAATGCAATGCCATACTTTACCAACTTGTTTGTACTTACTTGCCGGTCGCATCCATGCATCGCCGGATTCATAGCGACGTCCGAACAATTAGTTATAATGAAAAAGGGTTCTCACAACTTTCCGAACCCACAACAACCTGAGCTCTAGTGCAGTTCAGCAACTCTCCGCTGATTTCGCCGAGTTGCCAACAAAGAAATTGAATAATTATGTCCAAAGGGCTAACTTACTTACTCACCTTTCTAGCTGCTGGTCAGTGTAAGTATCTCTCTGTATATGTAGCGTAGAAAAATCGTTAAATTATCGCTCATTGCGCAGAACGCGTGTGCATACCATCATTACTTAACCAGAAATTATGCATTTCGTGTTTCGCTAACCTACGATCCGGACGTGCTCTGTGTGGCCAAACGCCATAATAACGCAACGGTAGTGCTCATATACACGTGTATGTGTGGTTATAAACCGAAAGCCAAAAGCGGCTCGCGGAAAATTATGTCTCGCCCGCATCGCGACCGACTTGTGCGAGTGTTGATGTTGAATGTCGACCCTTAATCATGCTACATATATACCACTAGAACACTATCGTCTATTTCCAATTGCATTACAATGCATTTACATCAGACAAAACGTTTGAAGAGTGTAATTTAATAGTGGCGTATGTAATTTACGTACCACAAGTTACAATTACACAATTAATTATAATATTCATATCAGGTGGGCGAAAAATAACCAGAAAAAAATAGTATTGGTGCCATTAATCATGAAACTTTCTATTTTTCTTATACAATACAACAATTGTTGCTTTTTGCATGTTTACCTGACTATTTAAAGTTTGCAAAACCTTCGCATCATCGTTTTATTCATATTCAAACTTTGAGTTCTTTCGAAAACCAGTTATAGTTAGAGTTATCTATTTGTGAAACTCTTCTTCATAATTTCCAACAAGTACGAAGCGTGAAATATGTAGCGAAAAATATTTCCACGTCAAAGCGTGTTTGGGGCACGTTTAGCAGCCGGGAGCGTGACGATTCTCGCATTTTTCGAGATTCTATTGACGCGCGCGTACGAAAAGACTGACTCATTTCTGAAATTCTTCAATTTTTCAATGCTGTGCACAGTGGGGGGACGTACTACAACGAAAAGGGTATCAACCCGTTACAGTTATACTTTTCCAGTTGCACCAAGGTGACTTTTTTTGTTCGAGTTATACCGAATCGCTTTCTAAAATGTAAAATCTTAAAATTTTACCGAAATATCGTTAAAAGTTGGTAAAAATCGTTTGAAACTAGTTTAGTACAAAATAATCTTAATACATAATGTTAATTTCGTGTTTACATTACTAAAGTATATTATTTATTATAAATTAACGCAAATTTAACACTTTAAATAAATTTAATTTTAATATAATATTTCTCAAGGTCGAAATGAAGATCAATATTTTCGATTCTCAAGTCCAAATATACAAGATTATTCGTTAATTTATGTGCGCCTATTAAAATTCACATTCTTTGCCATTTCGCATCAAGATAAGAAAGCGTTATTTATGTCCAAAACACGTTTTCGTATATTAACCAAATTAATAATGCGCGAATATCTGCTTGTATCAAATATGAAACTGATTAAAATTTAATTCGACGCATTTCGGTAGCTCTCGACATGTCGACATATTAATTAATAAATCAACGTAATTTACGTCCACAGCACGTTTCTGCATTAATTAATCCCGCAGTAATTTATTAGTTAGAAAACTTGTCACATCATATTTGCGTTTTGCGTTGAGTCGAAATAAATTTGTTCCAGTTTTCAATCGCATTGGCACTTGCGAGACGTGAAGTCACTTTGGTTGAGCATGAATTATTTATCGCGGAATGCGCGCCACGACAAACACCTCAAACTCACTTCTTGCTGAGCCGCGCTGCTTGATTTCGATGACCACCTTGACGCGCATCTTCCTCCACTACTGTATTGCTGAATGAGTAAAAGAAACACTGTGCGGCGACAAACGACGTCACGTCTGCAGACGAGAAGATGATCACGATGGACACAATACCATCGCGTCATCATTACAAACACTTCAGACGTGAAATCAGTAATAATGATTTAGGTTATGTTAGGTTATGTTATGATATGTTAGGTTATGCTTATATATTTCTGATTGAATCAGAGATTCAAATACATTGTGAATGTTTGCTCATTGTATCCAATACGCGTTGCACTTCAAGGGTGTTTGCTGTTTACCATGTAGCACACCATGTTTGCCATCAATGATATAGACTTATATATCGTCGTGTGTATTCGTCGATATTGACGCACGTCGCGCGCGTATTTCCATTTTCGTTATATTACAAGCCATCAAATCGATCGCGATCCCCTCGGCGCGGCGCCTCACAAGGGGTGGTAGTGGTGGTGGTGTGATGGTGGCTTGTGTGCATACACACGCTCACACACCGCCAACGACCCGCCACATCAACTCTATTACTTATATGAAACTGACTCGTTCACGCTTTTATTATATCAACACGCGGCACGACGATACACCTTATAACGCCGGAATGGCTTTCCATCCATCTTGCACCATGAGGGGCAACACAACACAAATATGTAATTATTCATCAATCGCGTGGTTATTTATTACGTGGCGTCTGGGGTGACATCAAAAGCATCAAATTAAATGTCGTTCAATCGCGCAATGAAAACAACAGCTTAGTGCAGTTAATAAAAAGTGGGCAATTTACGTACATACAAGAGGTCAACCAAACATACATTAATAACCCTAAGCAATTGTGGTTTTACTGCGTGCGTCATATTTTTTTGGTTATTTATTAAAAATTCTTTTCGGACAGTTTTTGGTCAAGTCGCTTGCTGTGCTGAAGAGTTTTCAATGTCATGCGACATTACAATAAAGGGTGCTCGGATACTCGTCGCTGGCTCGCCAGTTTTTTATGTGGCTGCTTGGCATGCGTGCCCGGCTTTTCGAGCGTAGACGAGCGAAGATGCGCACCAATAAATATGTCAGCCGGTGACGGGCGTCCTTCCCGGACATGCAAATATTTAATGCGATATGCACTCGCGGGCGCAAACTGCAAATATTAGCAATTCCGAGCGACGAGCGAGCGATTTACGAAATGCAATAATATGGTGTGTCTCCTTCAAGGCCCTCTAGCTTCATACAAACGTCATCGTCATCCGAAGACACACACCGAAAAACGTACGACATGCGGTGGTCGTAAACCGGCCGCATGTGCGCGCTCGCGATGACAGATACATAATATTATTATGGAAATATTAATACCGGTGAACACACAGAAGTCGAGCCAGGAGGAAGAAAGAAACAATAAATTTCGATTGTTGCGCGAGCACGTCATGCGTACCGCGCGGAGACAATAAAGAACATTCCGAAATACCTTCAAATGACAACCACCAGAATAGCAGCACACAAAAACGATAAAAAATTATCATATTTAATAAATTATTTATATCAAAGAGGAAGAGGTACCTTCAATTTTTTAGGTTGCAACATTTGAAGTTTTGCATTTTGGTTGGATTTCTGAATGAATGCGGCGATGTGGTGTGATAACTGGTATGACTAGAGCGATGTGAGGTATACCCGATGTTGGATTATCCCTACCATCGAAGTAAAGGTGAGGCAGCGCGGCCAGGTGAGTGAGGAAGGCGGGCCCGCACCGATTCGAGGGACGTAACCTCGCCGTCACCTTCTTCTCCGACCGGCTCGGCGTGCCCGACCCGGTGCGAGCTCTGTCAGTCACTCACTCACCGTGCCGCTGTCACAAGAGTCGCCCACGCAAAGCGCGCGGCCCGGCAAACAATAACCATCACGCGACATAGTAAAATTATTATTTCTGTAATACAACAAGTGACTTTAATACTGCCGTGTTTGCGTGTGTCTATGGATTTGATCAGTGCGGATGGTTGTGATTCAAACAGTGTAACGGATTGTAAGGGTTGAATGCGTGCTTGTAGCGCCGCTCAGCGTCGACGCAACGAGTGACCGCGGGGTGAGCACACACACACAATCACGCGCACAGCAGGACGACCACCAGCAGGAGGTGGAAAGGAGCGCGTCGGCGTCGTCGAGCGCGGCCGACCCGCGCCGAGGGTAGCGTCGGCGCGCAGCCCGCCCCGACGTCCGGCGTCCCGCCTGCCCCCACCACACGCGCGCCGCCGTCGGCAGACAGCATCCCGGCGCCGTCGAGCTCGCACGTCGCACCGACGACGACGCTCCCAGCTCAGCCAGCCAATCGCATCCGCCCGGGCAGGACGCGCGCGACGGCCGCACACATGAGCGGTCCATCATAACACCGCGCCGCCAAGCATATCATAACTCGCCGCCCGACCGCCGACGAATACGGAGCGCCGCGACGCTGACATACCCGCCGCCGCGAGTGTGAGTGTGACTGTGCGACATGTGTCCGGCACGCACCTGAGGACGGCAAGGACGAAGCGGCCGACACGCCGTGTGTGTGATTTCGTTCTGTTTTGATTTCCTGTGGACGAGTTCTGTGCAGCACAGTGCGATAGTGCTAATAACATGTCGCGACGCAAGCAAGCCAGACCCATCAAGCTGCAGGAGGACGAGGAAGTCGCTGGAATTCCTGGTGCTACCAAACCTATCGGTAAGTGCCCGCAAAACGGACATAAACAAAACAGAAAAATATAAACAAATCGTGTCGTGTTGTCATCGAAATACTGCGGAATCGTTTAAGACACACACAACTAGAATAAAATAATGCAGCTGAGAGATCGGCCCGATAACAAGAATCACACAGAACGACGAAACTGAAAACGTAAACAGACTCGAGCTGATATTTATTATTTATTAATAATGCGGCCTGCGCTCGTCGGTAACATAATATCGCGAGATTGACGATAATACCTGACCGGAGTTTATGTTCGTGCGCATCGCGTTCCCGTGTGGTACTTCTCGTGAACTCACATCTTGAACTTCTTCCAACAAACTTCCAGCAACTGAAAAATCAAAGAGAAAACAAAAATTGTACAAAATCAGTCTACATCTAAAAAAATTTCCGTTCGACATTAACTCGCGCACGTCCGTCCGCACAATGCTCGCGCGTCGAAAATAAATAGAATGGAAATTACAAAGGCGCGTGAAATGCGCGGCCTGCCCGCGCGCTCATGTTATTAATATGACAAGTGGTAAACGAGGTATTTAGTTAAAAGGACCGCGCTGGCTGCAGTGTGTGTCAGTGTGGAAAAACGCGGGAATAAATAAAGCGAAAACGAGCAGGATGAGGAAAACGAGGAGAAAGGAGATTGCGAGGGAAATTAATTTTCGACTGTCCGTCGAGATGTTCGGATGTCGTGGACAGCGGCCAAAAATTATTGTTTCACAAACTCACAAACTTAGAGGTACTCAACGCTTAAATGAAGTTTACCGTCGCTTGACGTTAAAATATCGTGAGTTAGCATTGAAATATATTTATAGCAAAATATTTTAATCGCAATAAAATAAATTGTTGCTAATTGGCGAGTGAAAAAAATTAAATTTCAAGAAATAGTTTTCTTGGATTTTTAAAATTTTCATTCAGCTACAGTGACTTTTATGTTTAATATAAACCTGCACTGTTTATCCGTTTTCGCTGGAAAATCCTGTCGCTGCTCGCGGTTGGTGACATAAAAATAAAGTACATCGCTAATTGTATCTGTCACCGGCAAAGATTCTTTGGCGCATTCCGCGGGCATCAAAGCAAAGCGATCGGGAAAAAATGATCGTCCGCGGAGCGCGCGCTCGCGATATAACTCAAACCGGCCCCGTGAGAATGCGCCAACGACAGCTACCCGTGTAACGCGTACATCAAATCATAAACGCTGCAGCTCCTCCAGTCGGCTTTTCTGATATTATAACAAAAACATATCAAACGTAAACGTAGGAAGCAGAAGAAGAAGACAAACTTCGAGGTAGCTGATCAAGCTGGCGAGCTGGTTGTTTTTTAATTGATGATGAACGATCGGCACCGGACAAAGGACCATAATTTGTTGTCAATTTCTCGTGCGCGTACGCATTGTATGTAGTGTGTAATTGGTGTCGGTGCGTTTTGATCTTCTTTTTGTGTCATGCGCGCGCGGACGCTGATTTTCGGTACGGCAGCTCGTAAAACGCTTGTTCGAAAATTGCTCCCGCTGGCGGGGACATAAAGAAGATATTGATACACGTTGTCGTCCGATAGGCGAGCACGTCGCGAGAATTAATATTACATAATTCGTTTTTAATAGCCCGATGGATTGACAGTCGAACCTCGACACGTCCCGGTTCTGTTCTGGTGGTCCTGTCACGTCAATCTGAACCTTGTGCAAAACCAGCAAAACGTCAATCATGAACATACAAACCAACTTTTTGTTTTTTCTTTTTTGCTGATTGTGAATGTGATTTATCAAAACCGGAGATCGACGAATCGTTTTTACCAACGCCGCAATCAAATTGACGTCGTATGATTAATTAATTATTGAAGCAAATATCCGATGATGAAAATGAGAAGTCGTTTGATCATGTGACACACGCATGGCTACTCAATATCGGCGTGTTAGGCAACCAGTTACGCGCTAATACAATTTCCAATTCGAACCCTTTTCGGCATTTAATTGCGTCCGACCATATTATTAACGCGTTTACCCCCTCTGTCTGTCTCGCTGCGGGGTTATAGGCCCGCGCTTCAATCTTTGATCACACAGGCCGCCCAGTTTAACCCCTTTTATAACCCGCTCTCGACGCGCGCGTAAGCCCGCTATTTATTTATGCATGGCCGAGTATAACAGACACCCTTCTAATGAGATTATGATACGCATACCGTACACATAAGTGTGAGAGAGATATTATTGCGGGGACACCGCCGCCATTTTGCAAAATTAATCTCAAACTCGAAATATATTCATCTGCTCATCTGTTGACATGTCGTTGCGTTGAAATTATGAGCTGAAAAAAATGTCTAGACGCTGCCAAAACGCTTTTGGCACACACAGCCACAAATAATTTGATGTCATATTGTGTTTTTAAATTTTCTACTAATTTATGATTTATCGATCTTGGCAATCGTTTAAATCTTTAATTTTAGATACTAAACATCAATCAGTGTTAATGCTGTGCAAAAAGTTGGTATAAGTTTAATTTTCGCCGTAAATATGCAAAATAAAAACATAGAAATTTTAATCACTGGTGTGTATGCAAAAACATTGAACATTAATAAGCGTAATGTCGAGAGGTTAATAGCCAAGCGCACGCCAAGTGGCTATTATGACGCAGAAGAAAGAATAATGCACAATGCGCAATGTGCAAGATATCCGCGCGTAGTCAAGCGTTGTTTCCTTCGTTTGAAACACTTTTTTAAAAAGTTTTTCACGTTTCTTAGCTTCCACTCGACGTCTTGCTCATATACCCAACTTTTTCTGCATTTTCTATGAATAATAATTACGACAAACATTAATATTTCTTTTTACGATTTGACTTAATTCGATTTTGGAAACATTTCAAGTTTTTTTTTGCTTTTGCTTTCATTTGTTTACATTCGTGCCGCTTTTATTCTTTTATGTGACTGTTTCGAAAACTTTTTGAAAAGTGCGAGTGATTTGTGTGGCTAACTATGTGGCCAAATTTTGACAATGCAAATGACAGGTATAGATGCAAATATTTGTTGCGGTCACAACGGGCGGTGGCGCTATAGTGTCACTGAATTGCGCAAGAGAAAAACACATTTGCTATCATGACGAAGGTTTACACGTCGGGTGAAAGTCGTCCTCAAGTTTTGGGTGAAAAGTTGGCAAGTTAAAACTTCTACCTCAAATATCGGGGTCGCCCTATCGGTTTTTATCATTGCCGGCCTTCCGCCGCGCGTTTTTCAGTGTTTTATGCTTTTTGGCCGTTTCGTTTTTGTTTGTTTGCCGTGACGATAAGACGTAATTTATATGCGTCCATCTATTTATGCATTATGGGCATTATAATTGCGTACATCCGCCTCAGGTTGACGAAAACGCTTTACATTTTTCAACAAAACTTTTAATGGGCTTTTATTGCGCCCGATTACGTCCGAAAAAAAAAACCAAAAACAATACTTGTACAAAATACAACGCAATGACAAAACACACACACGATACATAAATAATTAATAACGTTTTCTATCTATAAGTGGCAGCGATTTGTAAAATTACTTCAGTTTATATATCAAAATGATAATAAATATTCAACTAGTCTGTGTAATTATTTATTCTGTCTATTTTTAAATGTTCACTACATATATAATTCAAAAGTGTAGGCAACTAATAGATATAACCTATAATTAACCTTTAAACAAACGCACAGAAGTATTATCTTTATTTGTAGAATTTTTAAATTTGAAAATTTTTTCTAAGTGAAAATTTATTTGAAGTTTAAAGACGAAAAGGTAAACATTTTGCATCGCTAATGGAATAATGATTTACGTTCGAAAGAGTCGGGCTGCGTTGCTCCCGTTTTCCACACCGGAATTTCAGCCGCATTGGAAATTCTAAAAACGTTTACCGTAAACATATTAAACCACCCACAAGAATCTCGACGATCGTGGCGGCGCTATCCTTGCACTTGGTCGCAACAATTTCGAAATAACCACACAGAGTCGCCACCGCGTGTTAGTATAATGCAAAGATTTACACGCGCACGTTTCGCACGTTTGTCGCAATTTAGCACTCTCGACGCTCGAACAAAACCAACCGATCGGAATATATTACATATGCGATACATGCCGCTAAGTTTTCTTTTGTCTTCACGACGAAATTTTATGTTGAAGACTAATTATATTCACTAATGTATTTATGTTGACGGGGGATTTAATATTTTTTTTGTTTTCACGCGTTTTATGTAAAATTTTCAATAAATTTCATACTGATTTACGCGCGCGTGTTCGTCTTTGCGGTCGCGCAGAGAAGCGATTTGCACACAAAGTGGTTCGTGATTTAAAATCGCGCGCCGCGAATTGACAGGTCAGTCTCAGGCGAAACAAGTTTCTTTACTTTAGGCCGAACCTCTTTTCGCACACCGTCTTATACTACAAAGTGTCCACAAACGACAAACGACAAATTTAATATAATTTCTATCATTTTCAACTTTTTCATAATATTAAACACTCTGTATGGAATATTCCGTAGCAAATTTCGATTGTTGATTTTTCAATCGATTTGTACTACATTAACCCTGAAAATATGAATAATATTCCTTTGTCTTTCATGGTAGCGGCGATTTTTTATTCTCGCGCGCGGTTTTATTATTTCAAGCTGAAAATATTTCCCATGGCTGTCGTCCCCGCAAAGGGTAAAAACAAGTGGAAGAAATAAAGGACTAAACGATATGCGTTATAACGCACGGACGACGTCGGGTCCGTCGAAGATGGTGCGATGCGATGCAAAGCACGAAGCAACACACAACCAAAGAAGAAGAAAAGAAAAGAAGGTGTCCGGTCGAACAGCGTGGGCTTTCTGTCGGGACCGCGGCGACATTTTTCCTCCTCTCAGCCATTCCTTCACCCTGCATCTCGCTTAAACAATAAAATTAATAACTTGCGATAAGATCGTCCTTTTTCGATGTTATTAACAAGATGTATCCATAATTCGTTTCTTCACTTCTTCTTCATCCGAGTTTTCTCTCACGCGGCAATGACATTAACATTTCTTCGCCTGTATAATTCTTCGGCCGTATAATTCCTTAATTCCTTGCTAGTCGTCGTAATTTGGACACATTATACACCACCGGCCAGATGTCCCCAGTGTGCGTGCATTCGGAATGAAATGATAAAAACCATTTAATTCATATTTTACTTTTGCAGCACTGATTTATTTCGGATAATGTGACAAAATAACCGTTAGTAAACCGCCACAGTTGGTCCCCAAACTTTTTTTCACTCCTCACAGCGTGCAACGCAGTTTTTTTATTCAATCTTATTGTATTGCGATTTTCATTCCGCATATTTGGTTTTAATCCTCTATATTTATCTAAATCCTCTTCGTATTTACCACGCTACAGTAGCAAATTTTATTATTTTATTAGAAACGTTCATATGTAATGAATTAAAATAGAATCTGAGAGTTAACAAATTATGGAACGATGATTAATGCGCGCTGAACTAAATTTATACACGTGGTCGAACGATGGCGCGTGTTTAAAATATTTTTCTTGCTGCCGCCGTTTAGCGGGCGTCGCGACGCCGCTCATTATACAATGGGTTAGATTATGACGTGCACACTTAGACATTTAGTAATTCTTTGCGATGCCCCCTGTTTGTGGTCGCGAGAAAAAATGCCGACGGCTAAAAATATAAATAAACGCATTTTACCGCGTCGCGCGACGATTATAATTAAGTACGAACAAGTGAATGCATCACAAAGCATTAGACAAGGACATAAATTTGCTGGCTTTACCAAAAGAATTGAAAACATTCATGTTCTAACCAAACTACGAAAGAAAAAATAATTTCGGACATAAATAGTAATTGATATAACCTAGAAATTATTTTCCATGTTATTTAAGGTGAAATGGAGATATGCATATGATGTATTACACAAGTCGACTAAATGACTAATTACAGCGTCGTTGAGAGTTGCGACGCAAAGCTTTCGGAGAGAGTGGATTTTTCTTTCGAAGTCGTGATGATTTATCGTAGGTCTTCGCCGGTGTCGCAGCCTAAGCGTGACGGTAAAACGATATGATACAAAACAGCCGAAGAAATAAATTCGAAAAATTCATCCCGTACAATTATTCATCATATTATGGTAATTATTCATTTAAAAATCAGTCAACGAGTTAAAAGTTTATTATTCTACGCATGTGAAGCGTTTTCTAGTTTCTAGTATTTCCGTTTTCCGATCGGCGTGCGCGATTAGAGATTTTTCGCTCGAGTGTCGCGTTTGCGTTTTAATTGAAATCGATTTTTAATTGCAATAACCGTACGTTTGCGTTGTTAATTTATGTTCGACGCGTTTATCTGCGATCGCACTACATACTCGGGGAGAGCGCGAGCGCGTATTTATGCTGGCGAGCGAGCATTTGCCCACATTGTTGGAAAACGTGCGCGTTGCGCCGAGCACGCAGGAGCGTACGAAACTGATTGATATCTGCGTTAAAAGCTTGTACAAACTCTCGACTAAGCTTGGAAAACGGTAGGAATATCATCCTACAGAGTGTCATCACAATAATCAAACACTAATATCTCTAAAACACTAAAATTCAACAAATGTGCATGTAAAATTTTAAAATAATAAGGGGGTGAAGTTGTCCCCGGGTTTTATTTCTTTCTGCTTTATTCATGTCATGATGTCTCAATAAAAGAGAACTGGTACAATGTACAATGACAATTTCGTGAGCCGGTATTAATATTACCCTGATAGTGTAAACAATATGACAGGCAGGCTAATTCGGCGTGCATTCGCATTGTGCGCGACGCAAAATAGAAAAGCGGCGCGGAATTCGAGCAGAAAGATTCGCTCCCTCTTCGAGATTGCGACCCCCGATTTGGGCGATTTCACGGGCCAGCGCATCCCAATGCTCATGTCATCCGAACATCCAACGAAACATGTTACATGCTGCATATGCACACACGCGCAACAGTAAAAAACTAACGTAACAAATTGTCACAGCGAATATAAAAAAATAAACATGCGTTGTACCTCAATTCAATTTTATTTCGCGCGCAAGTTTAAGTGTAAAATTTTTATTTTCGCGCTCTGTGCGGGCTTGCATAATGCATAACACCTGCCTTTAATCCAAATATTTATAAGTAATTATTTGCCATCATTCGTCATTAATTCCAAGCGAAATGAAATAATTCCGTCTTTATGGCTCGAATCTTATGTTACTTCTGTTTCTTCCCTTCTTAATTCATAACTAGTCGAGTTGCCAGCCGTTCCTAATTACCGCCACGCTTCTCCTGCTATGCCATGCACTTACAGCAAGCTTTCAAAAGCTCTCGCACCACACACGTCTGTCATAAAAGCGCGACGAGCTCATTTGTCGCATCAACGTTGCGTCGCGCCTCATGAGCCCAACGCCAACTCTTTCTCTCGCGCAGATATCTCATAATTAATAACTGCACTTGTATGTCATCTTCGCATCATTACCTCTACAACAACCATCAGTACAACATCACTAAAAAACTAGTCATTAGGTGCATGCAGAGGATTATTACCAGTATTCCCGTGCTAATTTTGCTTTCTGTTAAATGTCACAGCTTCACACGACGCATAACTAATAACACTGCGATTAATATAAATATGACTGTCATAATTAACGCGTGTTCTTGCTTTCAATTAACTATGAAATATCTTGTCTCATAATTTAATCACAAATACTTTAGATTTATTAAACCGCGGTAATACTTAGTAAAATAATAAATTAAAATGTTTATTGGTTTGGAAAATTAATGGAAACCTGCAATTTATCCGCGCGTGCAAAATTAAATTGCGTTTTCTAGGAATTTGTAAGTAAAACGTGATTAAATTTAACAATTAGCTACGAATATTATATTAAGATGTCGCTACTTGCTACAAACAACTCTTCACTATTTTAATTAAATTCAATTTACATTATTACAGTATTTCATGTCAACATATGAATGTATGAAAAAGTGTCGTTACGACACGCTGGAACAAAATACTATGACACGTCTGACGCACGCGAGTATTTAATACGAAACAAGACATTTGATTTTCCACCGTCGGCCGCATTTAACCTCTTTTATTGCGTGCATGTGTGTGTGTTTCCACCTGGTTGTCACGCCATTTTCCACCGTTCCAAGCGACTAGTGCACGCGACCCGCTGTAAATTTCAATAAAGACGTGCATAGTGTTGAGTAGTGTTGCGCCTAAAACGTATGCACCCACACTCACATTCACCGCACTGGCTCTCACGCAAACAGTTGCATATACTTACATATTATGACGTGTTCGAGTATGTGGTTGTTGCTGGAAATGTTGGAAATGAGACGTTTTATGGCTTTATGAAATGAAACGCATTATTGCGCATTGTTTCGGACGTTTAGCTCGCCGCACGCGCACATAACTGGCGAAACGCTTAATTTAACATCGTGTACACTGGCAATATAAATATATATATATATATACCCATATGAATGGAGCAGGCATTTATAAGATGTCAAAAGTCAAATAACTTTATTGAAAAATTTTACTTTGTGATTTTATGCTTTTATTAATAATAAAACGCGTCGTAAATTTAAAAAAAGAGACTCGAATTTAAAAATTCCTTATTTATACAATGCGTCACTCAAGATGACCAACACACAGACACATATGTTCAGAAGAAGAAAAAACAGAGCCGAAATCTATGTTTTATTGTTGTGTTAAATATTTCTTTGCGTCAGCAGTAAACCTGCGAGTCTTCATTATGAATATTGTTAGTTTTGTTAGCGTTTCGGCGACGTGTCATAAAAAGTGGGCGCTGCGCCGTAATTAACAACACGAAAATTAAATTTTATAACGAATATAATAATAATATTCCTTATTCCGCTTTTATTTTTTATTATTCTCCACCGGCTTTGATCTTACCGACTCATCACAGTCACCGACTGCAGAATTTGTCAAAAATATATTTTAGAACTTAATTTAGTGAAAACTAATACGTTTTCATTTATGCACCTCATTGGTTGACAATTACATCATTTTTGTTGATGGAATTTTGAATGGATTGTCATTGCATTGTGGTGGAAAATATAATATAACACACGCCCGATTGGTTTTCCAACCGGGGAATCAAACATCAGTTTTGTCGTTTGTCGTCCGGAATCGATGACAATCGCTTGTATAATGGTATAATGCGAAATGGGTTTAACATGCTCGTTGACAAAACGCACAAGTTTTACAGACCTCTCTCGCAGGTATTGTGCCGCTGAACGATCGTCGAGTACATTCGATATTTTGTCAAGCGGCTATTCAGCTTGTAATAACAGAGAATTGATGCGACAATGTGAAGATGACAATGCCATCAATTCCATCAAACTACTAGAGACCTAGAAATAGATCAGGAGTACAAATGATGACAATAGTAGCTTATACTTGAGAAGAAATATCTTCATTCAAAAATTTGTGCCGCAGTTTATGGTGCAAACACAAATATTCAGTAAATCAAGTTTTATTAATACGATTCGCCGAACTACTTGAGATTGAACTTATGACTGTTCATTTTAATCAGTAATAATATTTTTCTGCTGCTGCCGAAACTCAATATCTAAACTGAAGCCTAACTGCCTGACTGCCTGAAGTAGTTTTCGTTTCAGTATTGTCTCAATATCGACGTTGCGATGTGTTTCTACCCCATTTGCTTTGCGCCCTAATATTCCTAAAATATCGTGTGCTCCGCCGGCGGATAGTTGCTGGCCGCCGGCGTAAACATGAAGGGTTTCTTTGGCATGCAGTCTTATTGAAAACAACATATGGTTCTTCCAGGAAATTAAAAAATCTCAGTCGTTCGCCATAAAAGCGCGCACGAGCACATTCAATATGTTTCCCCCGAAACATAATATTTTAAATACACGCGTCTATTTTTAAATTTCGTCAACTGCCATTTGTCATTGTTTGTCATCTTCTGTCACAACTCATCAAGTAAGATATGATGAATACTTGCAGGCGAACTTGATCGATTTATTTGTAATAGCACGAGTTGTAAACCTCATTCCGATTGCGATTCACTTTTTACCAGCTGCGTGAGCGCGCGCGTTCAACATTCCGATAATGTAGAAAATGGTTAATTAGGAATTCCTGTCGATTCCAGGTAATTGCGTTCGTGTGCGTCGGTAATTGGCGAATTGTCATGGTACTCGCGGTTTAAAGACCACCACGGTCGTACCACAACAATTAATATCATCTAAGCGAGTGTCTTTTATTACGAATAGCATTTTTTAGCAAAAATACTTGAAGCTGAAATACATCAAAACATCCATCGATGATGCCATTGAAATATTCTCTGAATGCCATGCACGAGCGAGAATTTTCCCATTTTGGTATTTTAATAACCCTTGCTAGAGGAAAACGCTCAAATAAATAAATATTTTCAATATGTGCGCGACTGGTGGAGGATGCACACATTGATGCCTTCCTCAGGCGAAGAAAATATACAAAGTGTTGTAAAACCTCAACAAAATCAATTTTTACGAATTTTTATTTGTATGAAACAGTTAGTTTTGAGAGGTGACAGAATATATTTTCCTGACGCGCTGTTCTTGGCATTGTAAATATGAAATTCGAGACGTGCTTCCCCCCGGAGGCGGCGTGTGCGATGGAGCTTTCGAAATGCTAATATATCCTTTACGCTTTCCGCAGCTAAATAAATACCGGGGCGCGTGAAATACAATATGAATGCGTGATATAACCTGCTGCACAAATACGAGGGTGAAGATGCAACATTTACAAACATAAAACTTTGAAAAATAAAGATTTCAAGAAATTTAATTTCTAACATGCTGTATAAAAAGACAGTAGCTGAAACTTTGAGTCGTTTGAATCGTTGGCAATATCATACGAGCAATCATCATACGAAATGCTATGATGCTGGGTGTGTGTATGCAGTTTTGCGCACATTGAATATGTGTGTTACGGCTATCGCCAACGGTTTGAAGTTACACTTGTAACGCAATCTCGAAGATTAGCGTCGCGAGTCGCGTACTCGAGGACCGGGCGCGCGCGCACACGCGGCTGCTGCCTGCTGCCGTGCAAGAAGCAGTCCGCAGGAAAGCTAAGCAGCTAACCGAGCGTTGCGCGCTCGTTCGTGCGCGCGTTTCACATCGTCTTCAATAAATGTTTCTGTCCATCGCCGGCCGTTTCGCCGAGAGGACTTACACTGCAAGCTTTGATTTTTCACCAGGTTTTAGTAAAACGAGTAGCTGATAGAATCAAATAAATGTTTCACTGTGGCTTAAATATTTTCAAACATAAAATGTTCAAAAACTACACATCTGCTGTTTTTGAAAAGCTTATAAATTTTATTAATTAGACTAAATTTCAAAAGGAGAATTTTTCCCCTCAAGAATGTGGATTGATTAAATTAAGATATTTTTTAGATTATTTTTGAATCTTCAGGTATAAAAATCTCAAAAAGAACATTTTTTGAGTCCAAAAAATTTAATGGTTCGGATTTTCAGACCCATCTTTTATTAATTTAATAATAAAAGTTTTTATACTCTAATTAATATGGACGACTACTAAAAACAAACAGTAGCATCTTTTCTATCCCATATTTTATGGCGTTTTTAATTTTTGTTTGTGCCTAGTAAATATTATGATTGGATATTTTCCGAATGAGTGGTTGCTTTGTATCTGAGCAAAAGTGAAGAGGGTCGCATTGGACCATGAAATATGTCGTTTTGTCAAACAATCAACGAACATGCATGTCAGTGCCATTTTCAAGTTGATCAAACATTACTTCATTTCTTACTGAACACATTGTATTGAAACAATATGTCACACATATGTTAGCAGCATAGACAAACATTTTATTGATTTATTTTAATGTTTAGTATAAAAATTAATGTTCCACTTGGATGGTTATGAAAATGAGTGAAAATAAATTTGCCTAATCCATGAATCACTCTGGCTTTATGAAGATTATTTATGAAAATCCTAAAAATACGCGACAAAAATGTAAAGTGTGCAAAGATTAACATGATAAACATAAAGAAAAAACAAAAAATAAAACGACAACGACATTTTAATGCAGTTTAATGATTCATGAAAGCAAAATTATGATGATCACATCCGTTTTTCTAAAATTAAGATTTCTTGTGAATTTTTTACAAACAACAGACACAAGTTTTGCGGTTTTACAATTTTAGCTACTCGAAAATGTGTTAATGATTAATAAATTCCAACAAAAACATAACATAACACATGTTGTAATTATTATTATAAAGTTGAAATAATCAAAATAATTTACTCAAAAGTCTATAAATATGCAATTTTTTGCTGGTGAATTGAGTTGTAATGGGTTTGTTATGTCATTTGATGTAGGCAAAGTTATAGATACGTCGATTACACATCGAAATTAATTCGACTCATCAATATACACACTACACTACACTCAGTTGTGAAGTGGTGGTGAGTGTTTGATGTGCATGTTCGATTCGAATGTTGTTCGTGTTCGTGCTCGCTGCTCATGTTGCACGACATGCGCGATGTGCATCGTGCAACGGTAAGTATTTTTGGCAGCGACACGAAGGTTAAAACTCGACTCGTCGTTATTTAGTTCCTGATGCCACTCTGAATGAATAGCAACAGTATAATATCAACTTCTTTCCAATCTGCCTACAGTAAGAGTATCTATAATGTTTTTTTCAAAAAACAAATGAATGAAATAATAATAATTTTAGCTTGTTATGTTGTCCATTCAAGAATCAAGTTTTCGGTGAGTGGTGAATGGTGATGGTGGCAATTATCAATATATACAAGAATAACACGTTATCGACGTTTGAGATCTTTATAGATTCGTGTGGAGAGGAAAAAAATGCTCGAATTTTATGACTTGAAAAATTCTTCAAAAAATTATATCCCTGCCTAAAACAATTTTTTTCGTCGTCGGGAATTCGAAATGGCTTTGGGAAGTCAGACGACTTCTTGCAAGAGGCCATGCCCAGTAAAACTGCAGCGGCCTGCAGCGGGCTGCAGAAGAAGAAGAACACCGCGTGTCTGTGCGCGAGCTTCTTATTCAGACGACGGGAACGCGCAACCGCGATTTTATCAGTAATGTGTGTGGGTTATTTTTGAGGTCGTATAAATCTTCGACTTCTCTAATTAATGCCGGCCAATGCTTAAAACTGAGCCGGGCACAGCGACAGCTCGACATCGAAAACCAAACAAGTCTGTTTACAATCTACACCGTGCACATTCTAAAAATTGTCTACGAACTGATATCAACATACTGTATATTTTGTATGTGTCTTATTATCGATTATAATCCATTTGCTTTTATTTGCATCTTCTTCATAATTGGCTGTTTATATATTTTTGTTTGTTGCATTGCTTCCAGACAATGCCTACGTTGAATGCTTTAATTTTGCGTGACTGTAATCGCACATCTTGCGAAAATATTTCACTCGTGTTTTCAATTTATAAAACCAAAGCTACGCTCTATGCATATGCAGGGAGAAGATATGACCGTATTAAATGAATGTATGAATGTGTGTATGAACATGCAATCTAGATACGGGGCGCTGAGGTGTTTCTACACCTTGCTAATCGCTTAAATATTAAAATGCGAATGAACAGGTCGGCAGCCGAAAGTCGACGAGTTGACTTAATTAAAAATTATTACAATATTATGAGCACGACGTCGACGCGACTGGTGCGCCGCGCGGCGATGAAATAATTAATTCGTAGGCGTGCTTCAGGTCGGGACACGTTTCGCCACGTGCAGCGTTGGTGCGCTGTGATCAATATTTTATACATTTATGTCACGACGCATTAAAATGTGTACCTCGCCGAGGAAAATTATGTTCTATTAACGTCCAATGGAACATGTTCACATGTTCGTGAACTTGAAATAAATACGATGTAGGTACTTACAAAAAATAAAGATGAAAAAAAGCATGTGACCATTTTGTAAAAAACGGAAGTTCATGGCCGTCTATTCAAAAATTATTTAATTAAACGTGTAAAACTAGGAAAACGTTGAATATGTTGAGACATTTGGAAAATCTAACAAATCATTTTCTCCTCTATCGTGGTGTTGGTGCTTAGTATTAACTAGCAACACTAGTATTGCTAGCGATATCTGGTCTTGGCGTGTCGCGATCATCCATCCACGTCTGGCCGCATTCGCGCGCGTAATTATAAATGCCAGCCAGAAAGGGAAAATGTGTAAACAACTAATTCGCGAGCGTAATAAATTTGTTTGCCGTTTAGCGTGCGCGCGCGTGAAAATTTATCCACCACTTGAAAACGCTGCTGCCTCAAGTAGCGTCAGTCAGTCAAACAAGAACATGACCAAACCTAACAGCGGCAGACGAGTCAACGCAGATCGCAGAACTCGTGCGCTGCACAAATTGCCAAAGTCGAAAACTCGAATGCTCAAACAGCAAGAAGAGAGACATTAAAGACGGCTATAATTAGCGCGACGGCAGTTGTCTAGAAAGGTCCAAAAAGAAACGATCACGAATCAATTTCAACCGAAGAAAGCTTTGGATTTCTATACATTCCTATAGAAAATTAAGTTTTTATTCAATTTCTAATTAAATCTAACTAAATGTATTTTTTTATGTTGCAGGTGAGTTTCCATAACAAAACAACACATCTACCTGCGCAGACAAGTCAGTTGTCCGCCATTATTCGGTATGTTTTACATTGATTTCCGGTTGGCGTGATATATGCAACCAAACAAGCGACGCGTGTCTTTTATTGACTCGACACGCCCCAGTCAAGAGTCTCAAAAACGCACGATTAGATTGATAAGTGAAATGCCCGCCTTGTGGTTGGACGTCAAACTAAGTTTACTTCCGGTTTGGGGCCGTGAACTAACAACTCCCCTTTGAGCCTTTAGCCTAATTCGAAGCGTGTAAAATCATAATGTATAACAAATTATGAGCGCGAAACAATAGCCCTTCTCTCCATGGGGTGACCCTACAGTAATATCCGACGTGGCGCGTGATGTATCGCATCCTGAATAAAATCGCCCACCAAAACACAGCGTGAGGCCGTGCCGGCGTTTACATCGACTTTGCCACCGTTTAAATTACCGAATTTAATCTTTGCGCACGTCACAAGATTAAAAAGTGCGTAAAATTCGTTACTTACAACGTACAGCCTACAAACCTACAGCACGCTCGTATTTTGCGTAAATAATTACCTCAATTAAAACGAAATTTTATCAGCGATGCTTCGAATTTAAATACAAATTATGTACGTGTTATTTTTAATTTAAATTTAAAAAAACCCAATTTTTTAAATGTAAATTAATGTGTAACAAGACTCGTGTTGACATTATATTGAAAATATGAATAATACACAACGAAGTTTGCGAATTTATTATTCGCCGCACTGCGGCTAATAACTAAATAACTATTTAATTAGAATTAATTGCCGCGGTACAATAAATAACGCGCGTTATGTGAGTGGTAATTGCGTCGATAACTCATTCGCCTATCGGTAACAGGGTTATGCAATGGTCAATGTTGATCATATTTGTGCACTCACATACCATATGTTTGCATTATCAACAAATTCAAATGT